AGACTAGGGAAGACATTTTTGAGCCACCTTTGGCAAAGTAGAAAGGAACGATTGGCCATCGGTGATCGGTCCTGTGGGAACAATGCTCCGTCCTCTCGAGGACGCGTGGTCAATGGTCTAACCGCTAAGACATGCAAAACATAAGAGTGCCCCCGATTTTCTGCGCAGATTCGTAACGAGGAGCCGCCGCGCCGAAGAGGCACCCGCAACACAACGCATGCAATTCCACTTCATGCCACATGTCTAACGTCCGCCGAACTTGTCCGTCACCAACCTGCAGAGGCTGCTCTCTCACCTGTCCACCTCCATGACCCTGACCTCCACAGTATCCCCGACTTTGACGATATCTCTCGCTGGCGGGGCAGGCAGCTTGTCAGTCATGTTGGACACATGCAGCAGGCCCTGCTGGTTGCGAAGCAGCTCCACCAGGCAACCATATTCGTGTACTGTCTTCACTGTTCCCTCGTAGAAGTCCCCCTGGAATGCGTTGTGGTTGCGTTTCAATTGGAGGCAAGAGACGGGTCGTGTTCTGGTGAAAGGAAAAAAGAGCAATGCGTTGGCCGATACAAGACACAACGACCTAGAACAAGAGGTGCCTAAACATGCAAAGATGAGTTCAAGGATAATTTGAAAGTACGGCACCATGGAGACCGGTACAGGTTTGGAACAGGGAATCGAAAAAAAAAGTGATACGTAGGGCACTGGGTAGCTCCAACAGCAAGCTGGGCCATCTAACATATCGTCCCGAATGCTGTAACAACACAAAGTGGAGGTCGATACCTCACCTTTGGTATCCGATTACTGTCTATAAGAAGAGTTCGAAGGCACTTTGAAGAGGAGTTCGCCAGGAAACAATTGAAATTTCGACAAGCCTTAACCTCCTCGATTTCATCAAAAGCCAACCTACCCACAAGATAACGATCACAATCTCGTGAGAGTGTGCGTCAGACAGGCATCACATGACGCAGAACTGAAACACCCTTGCCTGAAAAGAAACTTCAACCGGGAAAGGTGGAAAAGCTGCACGCAAGGAAAATCGGATCGCATTCGCCACGCGCAGCCATCTGGGCCTTGCGCAGAAAAATTCACGGCGCGTTCGGATCATTCACCCTACCGCCCACGCGGTTTGTTGTGTTGCTGAGAGCGACGTCTTCTCGGCCGGTTTCGCACCGTCGATGCGGTAGTGAAAGCACACACACAATAAGGCGCACACCTCTTCGATTTCGTGCACCAGCTCTCGTACGAGCTTCACTGCCCCAGCTACGCTTTGGGCGCTGTCGGAGAACACCACCGCTCTTCCCTCGGTGGAGAGGTCCAGTGCCACGCCGAAGTTTTCTTCGATTCCCTTCATGGTCTGCGGTTACACCAGCCAAGTTCGAAGCAGGTCGGGCCAGGCAGTTGATTCGACGGCAACAAAACCAACGTCAGCAGTTCGATCTCGATTCACGGTGTCTGGATTGATCCACTGCTGGTGGGTATTGATTGACACATGATGACTCATACGCCCGTAACATCGAGCGATGGTACATGCGTTACCAACAAGGTCACACGGAGATCGCTAGATCCCCATCATCCGGGGAGTTGGAACCCTTGCGAGGTATAGTATGTACGAGGGGATTCGGCGAAATCCAACGGAACACGATACACCGCCTGCCGGTCTTGTCTGACACCGCGGGCCACGACGATCTTTCTCCACGTCGGCCTCGATGCCTTGGGAAGACAGCTTCAACGGATGCCAACAATCGCGGGATCGATTGAACAGGATGGTTTCACAAACCGAACCGGGCTGACGAAGGGAACACGTCGGACCATTCTCGACACGATGGTGCCATCGCGACGTGTGTTGCAACCGTACCGTTACCCTGGCCGTGACCATACCTGCCCCTGGAAGCCGACGAGGTCCTTCTTCCGGTCGGCCTCGAAGTGGACGATCTCGCACCGAGGGGCTCGGTCCTTGAGAGTACCGTTGGGCGACCCAATCGCTTTCTTCATCGCCTTCAGGACCTTGACAAGCAAAGCGAATAGGTCACAATTAATTTTGACCGACCCAAATATGTAAGCGAATAGACAACAGTTGATTCGACCGACCCCTCAAAAAGGTTTGTGCGGTGTGCTCGATTGTTTTGTAGTGGTTCGGCTAGACCACTCGCGGATGTCAGTTCACAATAAGTCAAGAGCGAAAGACTAAAGCAACGCTAGGGCCGCGCCGATGCAGCTTGTCCTCTCGGCAGCCGGCCCTTGGGATGAAACCAAACTCAATGCATTATGTGCTAGTATTTGTAGCTCGTCCGTCCCTCCGCCGTTATTTCTATCTACACACCTGTGCACGGCCTGCCCTGGCAACCCTGAGCGCTTCGCTGAGAACTGGTAGAGGAACACCTCCCCTGAGTTTCACGTCAAGCTGATGGAGGGCAAGAACGACGTGGGAGAAGACCAAAATCGATCCAAATGAAAAAAAAAACGAAGGAATATAGCAGTTAAAAACAAAAGAACGGCGAAATAAACAGAGACGAAAAACTATGTGAAACGAAACCTAAGTCGGGGGTTTTGAACGTCAAATCCACGTGAAGACTATCCACGTACCTTGCAAAACGCCGAACCCCAGATTTCCTCTCGACACCATGGCATTCATGCAACACGAACGCCGTATAGGTCAAACCAGAATGGCGGCCACAACAAGCGACAGTCCACAATGGCCTCTGTCACAGGCAAGGGCTCGTAATTCCGATGGATACAAATCAATCAATAAACACCTGAATCGCTGTGATGCCCATCGCCGTCCCCGCGACCTTGAAGTCCATGTCCCCGTAGTGGTCCTCCGTCCCCTGGATATCCATCAGGATCGAGTGCGGCCCGATGTCCTCTCCGTCCGCAGGTGCGTCCATCGTCATCAATCCCACTGGAACCGTGGATGGAGGCAGCAGGCGGCGGCGGCGGCGGCGGGTGTCCTTTGCCATTACGGAGCTAGGCGTGGTTATCGTACACCAGTACTCGCTTTGCCAAACGTCGGGACAGGGGCACACCAGACAGAATACACAGCCAATCACACAAACGTAGTGCACCAACGCTGGGAAAAGCCATGAAATGCTGGGGCGGGGGCGGGGGGGCAGGAATGCATGACTTGTTCTCGGTCGCGGCGTATATCGTTTCATAGTCCACCGTAAATACGAGGGGAGGGTTTGCGGGGACACACGGACGCACAAACGCAGGTTTGTGCCCCCAAGAAACATTCGGCCACCATTGCTGAGCATTTCGGGATAAGTATTGCCAGCTCCTGCCACTCCTTGATCTTCGGGGAAAGAGGTGTGCTCTCATCACAGCCGCCGTGTCGACGGCCGCCGAAGGTGCCATCGTCGTTGATCCAGACACACCCCATCTGTGTGCGCTCCCATCCACCGGAAATTCTGACGACCGCCAGGCCGCAGCAGCAACAACAACAACAGCAGCAGCAGCAACAATAGCAGCAGAGGCAGCAGCCAGCGGCGTTTTTCTCACTCTCACCCTTACTCTCATCCTCGAACCCCTCCCTACTCTCACCGGCGCCGCCATTTCACTCACCGGAAATGCCTCCAACTGGCGAAGACACCGGAACTCCGGCATCCATGAGAGCCAGAGACGTGGCACACGCTGTCGCCATCGAAGACGATCCATTGCTCATCGTCACCTTTATCAGGCAAACATGGTGATTAGCAAAAAAAGAAGCAACGTTGACATGATTTGGTCGAGCCACAAACCGTCAGGGGCTTGCGTACGTCGAAACTATTACAACACTCGACATGGAGCGAGTGACGCGTTCGCTGCCAAGTGTAAATTTTGGCACTATTTATTCAGATCTCCAATAGGTGCGATCTTCCACCCTGTTAGTTGCAACAGGCAGCAACGAGATGTTTCGCCAGAAAAATAGGAAGCTCATACTCGCCTCGGCAGACACGCGCGTGGTGTACGGGAAGGTCTCCGTCTCTGGCATTACGGACAGCACCGCGCGTTCGGCGAGGTTGCCGTGTCCAACCATTCGCCGGTTCACAAGTCCCACCTGAAAAAAACATGGGGGTGGAACGCCAGAAACGCAGACATGCTTTACTGTTTTGTGTGCTTGAACGATGCTTTGCCACCCACTGAAAGAGGAGAACGCCAACAACCCCAGTGCCCTAGCCAGGAAGTCATGAAGTATTCACAATATCAATGTCAACAACAACAGCAGCAGCAGCAAAACAACAACAACGTCAACAGCAATAGCAAACACAATATCAATACCAACATCAACAGCACCAAACTAACAGCAATACCAACACAGTACCAATATCAACAGCAACAGCAGCAGCACAATAACAACGACAATATCAACCACAAGCGCACCTTGCCCGTCTCGTTGACGCAGTAGGGGGGGAACTCGTAATGCAGGTAAAGCCTGGCGTCGAGCATGTCTGGGGCCTCTGGTGCTTTGCCGAGGAACCTGCACAAAAACACGAAGCACAATCGCGATGAGCGGCAGCAAGTGAACTCGGGGCGTCTATAGCCGCACCCCACATCCCACGAAAAAAGAAGATGTCTCACGGAAGTCTTCGAGAACGTGGAGCACACGAGGGGACGAGGACAGGGACGGCCGCAACAACGCACGACGATGACGGTTCGCCGTAGTCTGCTTGGGAATTTCAGATGAGGATGACGGCAGTAGTTCATGACAGCTTCAGTTTGTGGAATTCCCAGGGGGTTGAACGTTCTGGGTGACCGCAACAAAAGTATTGCAGCTCGAGAATCGACACACATACACCAAGAGATACGAAGCACTTGGGCGCGGCCCTGCTAGGGTGGATGGGAGTGAGGCTTGGTCGTATTTTTAATAATTTTCCTCTCTCAACAATCCAAGTTTTTTGGGTGACGGCAACGGCGACGAAGCTGGAGATCCGCACGAAAGACAAGCGTGGCGTCCTTTTAGCCATGTACGAACCTAAGTATTCTGTACCCAGCCTAACCTCTAGTGCTGATTCAGCTATCCTGAAGCCTGGGTCACACAGAAGGCTCCCCCAACCTGAGGCCCCCCACTCTCTCTGCGGTGCGTTTATCCAAGTGTGCTCCACGACCGGTCCACAGGGGCGGGGCTATCGGTCTCTCTGGGGAGCAGACGAACAGACTACCGTGGACACAGACACCAAGCAGCGGGAAAACCAAGAGCCCTTACCGCTGCGGCGCGGACTCCAGGGCGGGGCCGAGGGTGACGGTAGCCAGGGTCTGCGTCTGACCGCGTGTGAACATGCCCGACCCGTGCACCGTCGGGAGAACGTCCACCTGCGGACAGACGACCGGCCCAACAGCCAGCACAATGTTGAGGAGCGGGGGGGGGAGGTTAGGTCGCTTCCGCCTCCGGAAAGAGGCAAGAAACAGCCACACAGATATTGAGGGAGGGTCGAATTTTAAGGAAAAGGGTTGAGACCACGGCTGGGGTAGAGATATGGCCTAAACGTGGCCGGAGGAAAGAAACAACAAGCTATATTCTCAAACTTTGAAGGGAGTGAAAATGGTGTAACATCCAAGGGATAGGGTGAGGACCACCGCTGGGGTAGAGATATGGCCTGAACGTCGCCGGCAGGATGTTCACCCTCGGATAAGTGAAGAAAAGCGCCAAGATATCGAAGCAGGGGTCGTGGATGTGGATGTGGCTGTGGCTGCGGGCGCAATCACTTCTCCGGGGACCACCACAACCCCTCAGCGTCAAAAATCGGGCGTGAGTGAGATGGACCGGCCGTGATGCCAGACGCTGCCTAGATTGGGAATCAAAACGAACATACAAACTGTTTTTTGCCTTCCTCCTGTGCGACCCGGGCTGGTAGGCCAAGCATAATACAAAAGAGGTGTCAAATGGTACCCAGAAAACGTGAGACGAATGAAACACATCCGTTGTTCGGCGCAGCGACCGCGACCCATCTCATCGCACGAGCGCTAAACAACTTTACAACGCACCTCTCCGGTGAGGTCGCGCGTCTCGCCTATCCCTCGACCGTCCGGACGACGGCCCTCTTCCACGATCGCCGCCCGCATGGCCCGCTTCAGCACCGCCTCCGCAGCCGCAACCCTTGCCGCCGGAGGAGCGTCGGGAAAGCTAACGGGAAGTTTGTTTACACGGCGGAGCGAGTGGGAGATGCCGCAAGAGCGGGTGAGGCGGTGTGTGCGTGGTTTCCCGTCGTGAGGGCTCACGGAAACGTGGGCGGGTAGGGGTGTGCGGTTTCGCAGTGTAATGTGCACGGGGGTGTCGAGCACACCAACAAAAACAGTCGCATTGTATACTTGCATGTTGGAGAAAGACGTGCCAAGCGACCATACCAATACAGAGTACCCTCGACAAAGTCAGCGCTGCTGTGCCCCGTCCCGTGATGATGCCGTTCGTGTGCAAGGGACATTCTACCCCTCTGTCTCGAGTACCTCAGGCGAGATGGCTTTTCGGACTGGGCAACCATACCCCCAACACAACAAAATATCAACCGACAAACCGCCGCCTCTCACCTCGTCGCCAGCGCTTCGCGGACCCTCCCCAGGAGCACCCCTTCGGCCCTCCCCCGATCCTCCTTCGAGGAGTTTCCACTCTCTCCGGCAGTGGCGTCATCGCCGCCCTTAGGTGGTGCCGCGAAAAGAGCCTTCGCGTCCGGCAGCCCAACACGCATGGCCTCTGTGAGCATACTCTGTGGTGTGTGCGTGTCGGCGTGGGGTGTGGTTAAACTCGCTTTGAGCCACGTAAGCACACCACAACTACAATGCAGGAAAAAAGAAGAAAAAATGGCTTCAGGTAAACGGTTCAACCGCGCTGGCAATGTACAGACCCCCAAAACCACCGCTGGGCAAAAACCAACATGACATGCGACAAAAAAAAAGGCTGTGCACACTCTGCTGTACAGTAGCTATGCCGACGCCGACACTTCTGACCGGAACAACCTGCTGCCTGGAAGTCATTCCCTCGTGTCCTCGGTACCGCAAACAAAACACTACGATGCCACGAAAGGACCGGGTGAACATAATCTAGAGGTCCAGGCGATAAAAAATCGCGACGACTCACCGGTGACGGGGCCGCGTCGGAGCGCGGAAGGACCTTCTCCTTGCCCGCGTCCCGCTGCAGAGCGCGCTGGGCCTCGATTAGCGGCGCCACCTGTTTGTTTCAGCGGTTTTCCGCGGGTACCGGAACGGTTGCTCGGCAAGGTCTTGGCACAGCAGTCACACCACATCGGTTGAGCAGACAGAGGCAACCCAACTGGACGCTATTAGCCATACTTACATGGCGATTGAGCGTGCTCTATTTACATTTGAGCGTGCTCTACTCAATGTTTTCTTATGGTTTTCATTCATACGGTAGTGGTCCGCGTTTAAGGCCAGTCACCCTGCTGAAGGCCGGCGGAATCACGTTACACAGGCGGTCACGGACGACGTGAGAGAGCGGGCACCTCAAACAACGATCGCAAGTGCACGTCTCCTTGCTCACATGTTTGTGGGCGAGCTTGAGGGCCAAGTCCATCAACCGTTCGCCCGTGGGCCCACCCCCCATTTCGATCATCAACACCCGGTGCTCGTTTGCCGCGTAGAGCAGGTCGAACCCCCCGCCGTCGTTCCAAGCGGTGGGCGAAAAGGTATCTGGGGAAGGGTTCACCACGAGCCTGCCGTCCACGCGGCCTAATGGTCGTTTGCGTGCGTGTGGGGACGAAACGTTTGGTTGTAGTACAGCATCGATCGCGTTAGCCGGTTGGTTAAGGGAAATACATGACGCGGTAGTGTTCTATTTGTTACTTGATTATCCCGAATCATCCTGTCGGCAACAGTTCTGCTCTCAAACATTGATCGAATGAATTGATTGGCTACACTCTCCCGACCCTCCGAATTCAGTTGCAAAAAATGCTTTCCACAGTGAGGGGTGATAGTCAAAACAAGACGCGTCCCTCTAAAATCGGCCTCCTCTTTCTGCCGTTTAGAAAAAGAAGGGGAGGCGGCTACAACTGCTTCTCCTCACAAACGAACAACGCCCAAGTATTACACTTTGTTCCGTTTTTATTTCACGTAACATCAGACGGGGCCATTGAAAGCTCACACGCCGCACCTATTCGCACGCAGCCCGCCGGCCCATCCCAAGGGATGTTGGACACGCAGAGCGCGGCTGAGGCGGCGTTGATGGCAACCACGACCGGATCTCCCCCCGCCTCCAAAGCTTGCACAGTGGCGACAACCTGTCTCACGACACAACAGGGCGCCACGCAGTTGGGTAGTGGGAGGGGGAGAGAGAAAGACACAGGGGAAGGGGTAGGAGGGAGAAAAAAATGGTGAAATGGCTGCAAATCGTGAGGAGATCAGATCTAACAGCACCAATAGGACAAGGACCAAAGACGATGACAGCACAAACAACGGACAGGGACCTCGGCGCTGCAAAAAGGGAGACACATCCGCCGGTACATACCATGGAGATACGGTGACGACAAAGGCGGCTTCAAGTACTGAAGCAAGAACAAACATATATGAGCAAACGTCGGCACGCATGCAAAGCGCACGCCGGTATAACTGGCCGCTTGATGAGGCCAATCGTGTCGGAAGGAATGCGCGACACGAAAAAACACGCAGCCAAGCAGCGGCTGCGCCCAGAAACGGCAAGAGCGCCGCCAAAACAGAAATACAGCATTTCGGCACGGAACACGGTCTGTGTTCAGGTATGTGTGTGTATTCGTACTCGTGCGTCGCCGGAAGTCCGCAGACACAAGCTCCACTTATTGCGTCCCTACACACAGGCGCCATACGGTTACGATTTCATGCACAAGAACAGCATGCAACAACACCAACCAAACGAATAATTGCCAAAAATGCTCAGGCCCTCCCCCCTCCCAGTGATGGAGTGTGAGCCGCGTCCTGACGGCGGCGACCCAAGCGGCAGGAGCTCACCTGCGTGTCGAAGCAGTACCCCGGGGGGAATAGCGGCCTGAGCACCCTGTCCACCGCCCTCGCCACCAGCACCTCTTCGTCAGTCTCCCTCCCGTCCCGCCGGTTAGGCGTCCGAGGAATCTTTCCCAGGGCGTGTGCCTGTGCGTGTTGGTGTTCATCGGTGCACGGCACACGGGCACCGATGCCACAAAACACACCAAGAGGCGAGGGTATCGTCAGGAGCAGGTATCATGCACGATTTTGCGGGCGTGAGGAACACGGCGTGGATCACACAACGACACGACAACGATAACGACAAACAACAACAACAACAACAAGGCCACAACACACGAATCAGGGCCTGCTCTTTTTCGTCTCCGTTCTGACCTTTTCGCGGTAGTCGACCGAGAGGGGAAGGAAGCCAGAGTCGTCCATCTCCGCCCTGTTGCTCACGGCCGAAACCATCACCACCGTACCCCCCTGCCTCGCCGTCACGAATCCGTCCGCCAGCTGGGCGATCTGTCCCACGTCATATGCAAAAATAGAAATGTAGGCAGCGCCGGGAAGCGTGAACGTAAAGAAATGCATACGTACATGGGTGCGCTGGGCTTTCTTAGCGGAGGCGCTCGGTACCATGTTTCACCCTCCTAGTACTGGAAGCCCAAATGGGCACACTTTGGGCACACAACGCTCAAATACCTATTCACCGCACTGCAGTCGCCCTAGGCTCCGCTGTGTGCAACGCACGTGAGAAACCTTGGTCAATTATGCTTGGCTAAGGTGGTACGCTGTGTGGTATGCTGTGTGACTTGCTGTACACATCCGCCAACCTGCGTGTCCCCTAGATCGTAGAACAATACAACGCCTGGCACTGGGAAATATCCTGACTTGGCTTCAGTATGAAAAGTTCCCCACGTGTCTTGGGGAAACTTCTTATACCAAAACGAAGTCACCCTTTGTCTGGCAAGGAGCCCAGATTATATTGAGGGACTGTAGCCCCCCGACCAATGGCTGGCAAACATTATTGCGACATTTTTTTTTGCGGGGGGACTGGGTGCTACTGTAGGAGGGTTAAGCACGATGCGTTGGGACAATCGTAGGATCTAGGTGCTTCCGTCAACGTTTTGGCCGCAAGTTGGGTAGTAGCGTGCACCATGTCACGACATCATCTACCTATCCATCCGCTCCTTGGACAAACCGGACACCTGCGTGTTCGAACCCATAGAACCCCTGAAGCGATGCCGTCTCGAGCTAACGCTCGCACAAACGGACGCGATCGGTCGCGTCGTCAAAGCCGCTGTTTTGTCCCGCCAATGGAGATCAGCGCCGCCATGGACAGCAAACTATCAAATGAAGGCAGGCAGCACGGTACTGCACTGAACAAATATCGAGGCATCAGGTCCTTCGCCTACCTATGTAGACGTCAGGTGTCGGGTGTATCTGCAGGTTGACTCTTCGCGTGTGTCAGGGTTCGGGGCGTTCTGTGCTGTGTGCACATCAGCTTACCTTTCCGGTCTCGAACGTGATGCCATTTGCCGTCGCGCTGCCCACTTTAGAGGATGCCTCCGTCAGTATCGACATCTTCCGCGGCGATGCTGCCGACCGCAGGCATCCCACCGTAGCCCGTTCAACATGCCGTGCATCTCGATCGGCCCTAGACAACAGAGGAAAGCAGGACGAGCTGTGGAAGCGATATTCCACTGGCGAAGGCAATGCACCCAATCCAACGCCATTGGCACGATTGCTGGTAGGGGGAAGCATGTAGATCATGCCAGCAGCACTGCAGCGATGCCTCGCCAACCCGAGCCGCTGTTGCGTAAGTAGACCCGAGCCATTCGCTGATGTGACATGGTCAGCCGCCGTTGGCCGCGCCGTTTTCGAGCGGACCCTATCCCTGGCTATTCTGCGTAGCGGAGTGACCGCCCTCGTTCGCATCATCCTCCTCGTGCTCTTGTTCTAGCCTCTGTCGCCTCGCCCGGCTGCTGCAACCGCCGCATGCTCACCAGAGATCAGCGCAGAGAGCATGCGGCATGCGGCATAACCAAGCTGGTTCTGAACGGGGACTGGGCATTCTGTCCCCGGACTTCCACATCGAAACATTTGACTCTCTCGGACCCCCCCCCCCCTTATTTTATTTTTTTGCGTTTTCTCCTCACCACACAGCAGGTAGCAGCTCACAGCTCTCACGCGCCGTCGACGTCTCAACCTCATCTCTTTGCCATCCCTCACGGGACGATCCATCCTCTATAAACAATGGGCCCCCCTCCGCCGACTGGTGAGCGAGAGAAACGAGTCGATCGGGCTGTAGTAGGAACGCACTGTGTAAGTTTGTGAAAGCAAGGTCGAGAACGGCGAGCAACCATGCGTTCCTGTTGTGTGGGGTAGGAGAGACGGAGAGGCAGGGAACACGCTTCACGGGAGTTACCTTGTGATGGCTGGAGGTTGCAAGCTCACGGGAACTCATTTGTACGTGGGCTTGCACCTCTGCCGCTACCCCTCTTGCTATCCCATCCCTGTGTCTTGTGACAAGACCGCACCAATGATTACCCCATGCTGTGGGAGGTGGTGCTGGTGTCTGGTGTGCCTCATCATGGTTTATTTGCCAACACACACCCTTAGAGCGGCCACGACCGGCCGGTCCGATTTTGCGGGTACGCCTTAGCATTCCTGTTGTGACTTGTTCTCGGAGCTCGATTTTGGACGTCGAATTGCTTGGAGTGATGCTCCCCCACCTGTTGTGACTTGTTCTCGGAGCTCGATTTTGGACGTCGAATTGCTTGGAGTGATGCTCCCCCACCTGTTGTGACTTGTTCTCGGAGCTCGATTTTGGACGTCGAATTGCTTGGAGTGATGCTCCCCACACAGATATCAATATGCTCCCTAGGTACATCAAAATCAGTATGGTTGCAAGGTTCCAAGTGTCCACAGGGAACAAATACAGCCCATTGCAAGGGGATGCCTATACGCTCGCACAACTTGGCTCGGCAAGACTTGTTTGGCGGTATGTTGTGTGTTTGCAGCTGAAGTGCTGTTGTGAAATATGCTGCGCACGCCTCTCTTTTTGTGCTGTTACTCCCTGAGCTGGAAAGTCCACGTTCGTGCCATTCCGCAAACCATTTCTCGACTAGAGCAGAGGCAGAGATCGGGGCTTGAGGCCCCCGAAAAGTCGCTGAGCGAACTTTGGCAGGGTCGTGAAGGACTTCTGAATACGGGGTGTAGGATTTGAACGATTCCGTTGAGCATGAGCAACGCAACGCATATAAATAACGAGGTTTTAAATGAAACCATCAAGCTGTGCACAAGAAAACACGGTACCTCAAGAATGCACAGTAGAGCAGTCAAGTGACTGAAGCCAGGAGCGCAGGTGAGCTCGATCCAACCAACAACCTCTTTGTTGAACCAGGCATGAGCCTTCCACAATATACAATTTCTGTTACTACCAGCGTTTCTTTCCATCCGTTCTTTCTCTCATGTTAAGGTGAGGCACAGTATGTGATCCTTAGGGCGATCGGGGGTGAGGTAGGAAACACGGCCGCCCTGGCCCCCAAGCTGGGTCCTCTGGGTCTCTCGCCCAAGAAAATCGGCGAGGACATCCAGAAGAACACCCAGGAGTGGAAGGGGCTCCCGATCACGGTCAAGCTCACCATCATCAACCGTCAGGTCGGTGCTCGCTGCTGCTTGTGTATTGCTTATTGTCTTCGTTGTCTGGAGCTGCGATAGATTCGTGATTTGCCGTTTGGCCTTCTGTTGTTGGTGGCGGTCATGGTTGCTACCGTATTCACTTTTTATGGTTGTTTACCTTAAGAACCGAGAGCATGCCAATCATTCAAAGCAACCAGCAATCCGCTTGGTGTTGAGAATACAAAAGTAGCCGCTTTGTTACGGTTCGACATAACCAGATTTCCGAATAGCCCGCAAGCAACCCTCGCCGCTCCTTGATTTCTCTAGCGCGTGTGGGGTTCGCTGCAATTCTGATTGCGCGAGGCGAGAAGCAAACCGGGGGGGAACCTAACATTCGTTCGTCTGGCTCCCCCGGCCGGGCTTGGCCACACCGGACTGGTTGTTATTCCTTGTGTCTGAATGTGGAATGTACCTGGCCTAAATATGAACTTTACGTAGCTAAGTTGGGCCACACTTGATTTTTTTCGGCGTGCTCGACAGCAGTCTGTACTGCTTTGCGAGTTTCTTTCTCGCACACCGGGTAGTAGACACGAGGCCGTGTCTGTTAGAGCTGGCTGTCATTTTCTGTTCTTTTTCTGCCATAACGGGGCGGGTTAATCATGCAGATCCAAACGGAGGCTGCGCACTCTCTGTTGTCGTGGGTTTGTGCCGCGCTCACCGGTGGCTCTAGCCACTGGTTTCCCTGCCTGAACGCCTTTGCGGCGTTTTTGATGGATGGTGAAAACGCGCGTGCGTGTGACCGCCATGCTTGAAATCTGGTGTGTTCCTCTATTCCTGTGCGTCGATTCGTCTTGCGTCAGTTTGTTGTCTGGCGATGCTGCCGTCACCACCGCTGCTGCTGTCGACACCTTTGTCTGTGTTGTCCCTCCCACGTACTTCTCCAGGCGACCGTGTCGGTGATCCCCGCCGCTTCGTCGCTGATCCTCAAGGCTCTCAACGAGCCCGAGCGCGACCGCAAGAAGGTGCCTCATGCCCGCCTGTCCGCTTCCACCAACGTGTTGTGTTGACGAAAGTTTCGTTTGTAGATTGGGGGCCGTTTTGTGGTTATCCACCCGTTAAAGAGAAACACATATGCACACTTTGTGACGAAAAAGTGAGAACAGCGCCAAAACGAGTTTTGGTAAAGGCGGTTCGTGGTCATCCAACTACCGGATGGGCACCTGTAACGTATTTGTGAAGAGCGCCGTAGCCTCAAGAAGATATTTTGGAAAGTGTGCAGGCCATCGGATGTAGAGCGGACCTGGGAACGTTCCTGGCTGACAAACGGATGAATGTTTTCCGCACGAAGGCCTTCAGTGTTGTTTCACAACAAGCGTACAAAGAAGGCTTCTGATGGTAGTTTGGAGAAAAAGCCCGCAAGCAACCCTTGCCGCGCCTTGATTTCTCCCGCGCGTGTGGGGGTAGCTGCAATTCTGATTGCGCGAGGCGATAAGCAAACCGGGGGGGAACCTAACATTCGTTCGTCTGGCTCCCCCGGCCGGGCTTGGCCACACCGGACTGGTTTCTATACCTTGTGTCTGAATGTGGAATGTACCTGGCCGACATATCCTACAACGTTGTTTCTCGATTGTACTTTTTTTGGTTGGTTTTTGCCACGGTCGTCCCTGTCGCGTCGTGCCCATTTCGCCGTCGCTCATCTCGTAGCGACCCTGGTAGATAGCCCCCCCTAATGCGTGTTTTGTGCGTGCGTGGTTCATGTTGTGTTGACTCGACAGGTGAAGAACATCAAGCACGACGGGAACGTCACCCTCGACCAGGTGATCGAAATTGCCCGCGTCATGCGCGAGAGGTCCATGGCGCGCACGCTCGCCGGAACCGTCAAGGAAATGCTCGGCACCTGCAACTCCGTCGGCTGCACCGTCAACGGACAGTCTCCCCGCGACATCCAGGTACTAGCAGTTATTTTCGTTGGTCGTGTGACATGTGTGCGACACACCTCACAGAACGAAAGCACGGTCATGCAAAGGCCTTGTTGTGCGTCTTCCCTTCTTTTGTGATGGTGTTTGTTTCAAGCCATCCCATTCATCACTCCATAACATACGTAGGTACACAACATTCAATTCGTCGCCCCCTTGCTTATTTTCCTTGCATGTTCGTCGACATGGGGCGTTACTTTTGTTGACGCGAGCGATGATACCCGATTGTGTCCGGTCGACGCGCGACCCGCGAAAGGGTGTCGCCTTTCATCAACTGACCAAACCCCCCTCATCCCTCTCTGTCGTTCCCGCGCCGTGTGTGTTCGTCGTGGTCGGCCATCCTCACCCTCACATCATTTTTGGGATGTGCGCGGCCCACCTTCTGCTCGATGGATGCTCGTTGAATGTGGGGCGCGTGCGTCAATTATTGACCCGCTCTGGCGGGACTGTCAAAATCTATGTTGGATTCGGACGTTGGAATCACAGAGCGGCATCAGCGAGGGAGAGATTGTCATCCCCGACGAGTAGACCGGGTTTCGCTTCTTGTATGTTTCGACATGGTTTGATTTCGGAGCGAGGAGTGTCTTGTCTCACTTGAAACGTCACCTTTTCGCGTGGGAATAAAAAGAGTAAAAAAACATGTTCTGGCTTGTGGGCGGATGGTTTGCTGCGCTCGGGCTTTTGTGTCGCACGCATGACGTGACACATCGGGTGCGGGGGTTGCCATCTGGACCATTGTTCGTCCGCCCGTTTGCCATTACATCCTTTCGCCCAAACGGTTGGGTTGCTTGACGATGGGCAACACATCTTGCGCCGCGTGTGCACTTTGAATGCACAGCGTTGCGGACGGGTCAATGTGCAAGTGACCGATGGCATGCACCACTGGTTCTTTCAGCCAGGCGGCCGCTTGACCGCACCTACCTCAACAGGTACAGAAGCAACAGCAGCAGCACTACATTGTTTCCCACTCAATCAGTATCCATGCTGCTGTTGCGGAGTCCCTCTCGCTCCGCTTAGGAAATGACCGCCTGAAACATGTCCAACCATTTCGCAAGACCTGGACGTGTAAGTTAGCCCTCCCTGTGCACTGAGTTTGCGAGGCGTCGAGTTGGCCGAGTGCGGCGAGCCATCCCCCTTTAGTCTCATAAGGAAACCCGACCATCGGGCATGGGCGTTACTCGCGCCGCCGAGACCAACGGAGCGTCCGTTTGCAGTTTTTGTGGCCTCCAAAGATGTCCTTGAGAAAAAGTATCGGGGCCCCTGACTTCTACGAGAAAAGTGCCCGTTCACTTACATGTCAACGCTTGGCCTTCGGCCTATAACTGCAGCCATTATTCTGCCCTTTCACCTGGGCGTCAGCACGTTCGCACGTTGTTATATCACGTTCTCTTGAGACAAGGCCTAGGCATCGTTCTGACACGAAGGTGCGTAAGGAAGGACGTCCCTGACTTATACGAGAGAAGTCCCCGTTAACTTACATGTCAACGCTTGGCCTTCGGCATAAAACTGCAGCCATTTTTCTGCCCTTTCACCTGGGCGTCAGCACGTTCGCACGCTGTTGTATCACGTTCTCTTGAGACGAGGTCTAGGCATCGTTCTGACACGATAGTGCGTAAGGAAGGACGTCGATTTCTTGGTCGTCGGGTACTCGACGCAGAGTTGCACCACCCGGTGGGCAGGGCTTACGGCAGCATTCGTACGCGAAGCCACCCGCAGAGAAAAGCTACCATGCAAAACCGCATCAAATTGCCCATCAAGCGAAGTCTGGGTGATGGTCTTTCTTTTGCTTCAACTAGCGACCGTCCCTTATCCGGAGGTTTCGCGAGGTTTCGCGAACGGAGCCCTTTCGTGCGCCGGTGCTGGGGAATGAAAGACTACCTGCCCCTGCTATTATCTGAAACCCATCCGGGCACAGAACACTCGCACGCTGGCCAGGCGGTCTCGGCTGGACCTAGCAACACCAGTTCATCGTCGTTACCGCAACTGCTGTCCCATGATCGCATTCGCCCGCACAGCTGGCCGCACGAAGCAAGTTATAAATCTATCGGCAGTCATCGTCGCTTGAGGCACCATAGGTGTACTTCGCCTCTCAGGTCGTCCAAGCCATCGTTCTCCACGAAGAGATCTCGCATTTGCACCTGCGATTGTAGAAGCAAGCGGAACGTGGGTTGGTGTACGTGCGATTGGTGATACGAATGCGTGGAAGGCGCCAAGGGGGCACACCAGCTATGTGACCCCGGTTGGGTCGTCTAGCTCGAAGATGTGGAGGATGGGGGCCAGAGGGGCAGACGACAGAGTCCAATGATGGGAGAAAAACAAACAAACAAAACCGGCACCGGTACGTGTTGGTTTCTAGTCTACATGGTGTAAAAAGGAGACTTGCTACACCCTTGAAGAAACGGTTGCCGTACCCTTGTCTCGTTTCATCGCCTTTCAACGAAACACTCGCACGCTTGAGATGCCTGTTACACAAGAGCATCGTACCGGCTGCATGCATCGTGAACTGGGGACGAATGTTGACGTCACATGTACGTAGTCTACAACGTACATCTATGACCGCCACATCAATACCCCCATCCCTCCCCGTCGTCTTCGGACACGGGCAAAACTCCAGACACTGCACACCCCAGATCAGATGCAACAAGGACCAGGACGACAAGAAGAAGAGGTAGCCCCCACCGTCTTGATCCGCGTCGCGACGAACCCTTTGTCCTTGGCCAGCTCGAAGAACTTCATGTCCAGCTCTGCCTTCTCGGGATCGTGGTGGGAGAAGCTCACCCACATCGTCGCCGCCGCCGCCGCCGCCGCCGCCGCGGTCGCCGTGCTTCCCGACCCTCTCCCGAGCAGGCAGCGGCCGCAGGTCTCGAGCAGCTGCGCGTGCTGCGACCGGTTGAAGAGAAGATCGGCCATGATCACCACATCGAACCCCTCCCCATCCCCGCCCCCGCCCGCTATCGGCCTCGTACGATGGCAACCTCCTCCCGGGCTTCCTTCTCCTTGCCCATATCCCGACTCAATCTCCTCTTCTGTACCCGTAGCTTGAACCGGCGCCCCGGCGGCGGCGCCACCAAGGTCTACGTTTTTCTCTCGATCGCTGTCGGCGGCGACGCTACCGAGGATTACGTTCTTCTCTCCATCACTTCTGCTACCGACGCCGTTATCGTGGCGTAATGATAACGAGCTCCCTGTCCGCAGAGGGGCGCGGAGGTCCTCCACTGCCTGCCCCCACACGTGCCCCACGGCGTGCAAGGTGCCTTCGGGCACGAACTCTGGCTGGACTCGGTCGATGTTGATCTGGATGGGGACCATCAGGGCGGCGTCGGTAGACGTTGCGTAGTCGGAGATGACGACTTTGGTGGCACCTTTCTGCGGGAAGGAGAAAGAGAGAGAGGTTGGTACGTGAAAGCGAGAGGCGAGACAACAGGGAGAGGGGGGCCGGGTGGGGGGGCGTACTCGTATGTTTTGCATGCCTTAGCGGTTAGACCATTGACCACGCGTCCTCGAGAGGACGGAGCATTGCTCCCACAGGACCGATCACCGATGGTCAATCGTTCCTTTCTACTTTGCCAAAGTTGGCTCAAAAATGTGTGCCCTAGTCTGTCTATCCTAACGATATCCCTTCCCGCCTTTTCAACCCACCTCCTATGCCCCAGTACAGCTACCGTCCTTTCCTCTCTATTCCATGCCTCAAACATCTCCCTGTACGTTCCATCTATTTTTCCCAGCTCAGTCACGTACACTTCCCTCTCCTTCTTGTACAACGGACATTCCGCGACTACATGAACACGGTCTTCGCATTCGAAGCCGCAATCACATTTGAACTCGTAGTCTTCGTCGTCTACCGTCCTATGGCTTTGTCGACGTTCTCGAAGGCCTATGTCCCCGGTCCTGAATTTGACCTTAAGCTTTGTTCCTGCATCCATTGGTCCATGTAGGTAGTCCTTGAACCCTATTCCTTCCTTCAACATTCCGTACACTTCTAGACCCTCCTTATCCTTGGATTCTTTCCTCAGATTCTGTTCTTCTCTCTCGGCACAAGCAACAGATATCTTCTCCTTGAACCCCTGTAGACCCTCCGTTTCCAGCGTTTCATCTTCGTCGATGTCGAACCCCTTGTATACGTCCTCTACAACCTTGACCCATTCCGTGGGCTGTCTACCCCTCTATTTGTTTGCCAACTTCGCCTCCCATACAATCCTCGGCAACCTCTCCTCTCCCATCCCGCACATGCGATCCTGTCATGTCAGCTTCCTCGCGTCTCTTCCCGACCGCAGGGATT